ACCAGGCTATGTGCCATGCTGGACCAAGGATTGCTGTTACTTTGATGTGCTAGGGACCTTGGTCCAGTACGCCCAGGCTATGTGCCATGCTGGATCAAGGATTGCTGTTACTTCGATGCACTAGGGACCTTGTTCCAGTATGCCCAGGCTATGTGCCATTCTGGATGTTAGGGGCCTTGGATTGGTACAACCAGGCTTTGTGCCATGCCAATCAAGGATTGCTGTTTGCTGTGTGCTGTAGGGACCTTGGATTGGTACGATCAGGCTTTGTGCCATGCCGACCAAGGATTGCCGTTAGCTCAACCAACTAGGGAGCTTGGTTCCAGTGCGCTCTTGGCTGTGTGCCACACTGGTTCAAGTGCTGCTGTTAACCTGCTGTAGGGACTCTACTGTCAGTGCACCCTTGGCTGTGTGCCACACTGCAGTAGAGATTGCTGTTCATCTGTTGGTTCCACTGCACCACGTCGTGTCCTAGGAGAGTTGAGACCGTCCAGATGCAACCAGATGTTACCAGATGCTCCTGATTTTTGTTTTATGGTGATGGGATTTTTATTTAATATTAATGTTCTTTTATGATCACCTGTCAAACTTATGTCCGCTCCTTTGTGTTTGTCAGGACTCAGGCTTGCTTTTATCTTCCAGGTCTGTTTGCTTCGACCCAGAGCGGGGGAGGAATTCTGTAAGGTGGTCTTGGATGCTGCATCTCATCCTCTCCGCTCTCCCGCTCTGACTGCCGTGTTGGAGGATTGTCTCACACGTCTCACCTCGGTTTTGGTTTGTTTTTCTCAATTTTATTTACTTTTATTGTTTTATTTTAGTTTCCTCTTTTTATTCTGTGTTTTCTCTGAGCATTTTTATTTATGACTTAACGACGACACATTTTTATGACCCTTTTATCATCAGTTTTTATTCATTTTAGTTTTTTTTAAAGTATTCAGTAAAGTTTTAAGGTCTTGTATTTACTTAGTTTTCATTTTAAGTTGTAGGAGAAGCATTTTAACGAATGATGTTTATTTGTTCTTTTTAGTTATCACTTTTCTTTTTATGATTTCTATTTTATAATTTTAGTTTTATTTTTGTTAATTTTTATGCACAGTTTTATCTTATTTCTCGCGAGAATATATTTTGTATAAATGTTTGGCCTCTGACGTCACCGGGCATTGGAAAAAGAAAACAACAGTACAAGTCGAGACGTCAACGAGTGTGTTCCTCCGAAGCTTTGAACCACCGGCAGTGTCGCCATATTTATTGAACTGAACATGGGTTTTATACTGTCGTATTTTTTTTTTTAGGCTTAAGGGGTTTTAAGCCTTCAGCTCTGATGCCAGACTTGCTGGTTTTGTTTTTGTTTTATGGTAAGGCCTTCAGCCAGGCTGTCCACTCTGGAAGTCTTTTCTTTTAGTTTTTGCATACGACAGTCAGTAATTTTAGGTGCCTTTAGCACATTCTTTTACTTTTGTATTTCTCTTAGATTTTTTTTAGTATGTATTTTACCAATGGTTATGCTGAACGTCAGAAAGTGGTATTCACACTGAACACCCCTATTAATGATTGTCTCCCCCCCCCACGCTACCACTTAAGGGGATTGAATTGACAGGGGTTAACCAAGTCTATTTGCGCCTGTATCCCCCGCCAGCATCAAGGGAGGGCAGAATTCAAAAAGAGTGACTAGATGAACTGGGACGGGACCCCTGGGTTAGACAGATCACACTACAACAGCTATGTGCATATATACATCTGTGTGTATATACACAGCTATGTGCATATATACATCTGTGTGCATATACACAGCTATGTGCATATATACATCTGTGTGCATATGCACAGGTATGTGCATATATACAACTATGCATATATGTGCATGTGCATATGTACATTTATATGCATATATACATTTATATGCATATATATACATTTATATACATATGTGTGTGTATGAATATATTTACATATATATATATTTATATACAATATATATATATATATATATATATATATATATATATATATATATATATATATATTATATATATATATATATATATATATATATATATATATATATATATATTATATATATATATATATATATATATATATATATATATATATATATATATATATATATATAATATAATATATATATATATATATATTATATATATCCATTATA